ATCCAAATCATTTTTGTAAAGTGTATTAATGAAGTTGCCCTGGCCAACTGGGGATGAAAAAGTTGTCTGTCTACCAACTTTCACTAATAACTGATGATTAATATTATAGGTCATTTATATGTCTTCAAATTGCCTGTTGATTTATTTATGTTAACTTTGTAAAGATTTTCTTGAGCAAAGAATCCTCAGAGCTGGCTTTGCCAGTTCTTTTCTCTGAAATACAGCCTACAACAGCTACAGTTATAATAATAGCATCATAATAATTTGACTCAGCTAGAATTTCCAAATAGATCAAAACAAACGATTTTATAGAGCACTCCATACTTTAATTTTGAACAACCAACCCATTAGGGGGCCTTCTCAGTGGTGGCCCCTCGCCTGTGGAATGCACTCCCAGGGGAGATTAGGTCATCAACATTCCTCCTTGCTTTCAGAAGGAAGCTAAAAACCTGGATGTGGGACCAGGCCTTCGGGTAAGCTGGCAGATGGACAAAGACAACCAATGACGACCAGAGTAGGAAAGGATAATGACGGTGCTAGATGGATTACAGACTATGAATTGGCGAACATTGACCACAAGATGATTTTATTGCTGCTAGTATATTGTTTGACTGTTTTAATTAGTGATAATTGTTGACATTATATGGTAAATTTGTGTATTGTATATTGTATATTGTACTGTATTTTGTGAATTGTTAGGCATCAAATTGTGCCTTTTTGTAAGCCGCCCTGAGTCCCCCCTAGGGGATTGAGAAGGGCGGGGTAGAAGCACTCCAAATAAATAAATAAATAAATAAATAAATAGTTTTCACAATTTAATATAAAAGCATTTGATTCAAATAATGAGTGTATTTATCTCTAGAAATAGTAGTTGAACACTAAACAATAGAGTAAAAGGTAAAGGTTTCCCATGACATTAAGTCTAGTTGTGTCTGGCTCTGGGGGGTGGTGCTCATCTCCATTTCAAAGCCGAAGATTGTCCATAGCCGGCATTGTCCATAGACATCTCCAAGGTCATGTGGCCAGCATGACTGTATGGAATGCCCTTCCCTCCCCGCAGAAGTGATACCTATCGAGCTACTCACATTATTTATTTATTTATTTATTTCATGTATTTCTACCTCGCCCTTCTCAACCCCCGAGGGAGGACTCAGGGCGGCTTACAAAAGGCACAATTCGATGCCTACACAATAATACAGATAAACATATATAAACAGCAATTAAAACAGTTATAACAGTTAAAAACAATCAATTATATCCCGAGGCGGGATGTAGAGGGAGATGCGTTCGCACAGATACGCTGGGCCGGAACTGTATAGGGTTTTGTAGGTCAAAACCAGCACTCTGAATTGTGCTCGGAACTGGATCGACAGCCAGTGGAGCTGACATAACAGAGGGGTGGTATGCTCCCTGTATGACGCTTCGGTGAGTAATCTGGCTGCCTCCCACTGGACTAATTGAAGTTTCCAAACAGTCTTCAAAGGCAACCCCATGTAGAGTGTGTTGCAGTAATCTATTCGGGATGTAACAAGAGCGTGGACCACTGTGGCCAGATCCGACTTCCCAAGGTACGGGCGCAGCTGGCGCACAAGTTTTGATTGTGCAAAAGCTCTCCTGGCCACCGCTGAGACCTGGGGTTTGCATGTTTTCAAACTGCTAGGTTGGCAGAAGCTGAGCCTAGCAGTGGGAGCTCACCCTGCTTCCTGGATTTGAACTGCCAATCTTTCAGTCAGCAAATTCATCAGCTCAGTGGTTTAACCTGCTGCGCCACCAGTGGACCCAAGCAATACAGTACAGTCCCTGTATTCACAGGGGATATCACATGAACACACAAAAACACAGGTGATAGTGAATTCTATTAAAATGGAGAGCTTTCATATGGCGATTTTCCCATAATACCATAGATTCACATTGAAGAACCCTGAAAATATCTTGAGAAACCATATTTTGTGAGATATTAATAAATGAAACCTGTGAATATAGATTATAGTGTATATGTATGAAAACAAAACAAAACTCAAATATTCCACGTGATCTCAAAGCAACAGAATATAAACATTGACTAGCCACAAATGTATCATTTAGTGTAAGGAGTATCTAATACCCTTTTACACAAATCTTATGCAAATTCACAGTACAATGGTGAAGGACACAACTTCCTCTCCTATCTCATGCCTTCTACCAATTACCCAAAACACCAGTCCATTTGTAGCCCTTTCCTCCATCTAAATACACCAGTGAAAGTGTATGACTCACACATGTTAAACAAGATCTCTACTTCTAACTAATGATCTACCCATCAGCGTTTGTAATAAAATAGAAATAGAAAATGTTCATTTTTCTTTGCAAGATTGAAAAGGTCAAATGTTTTCTCCTTGCTGAATTAGATTATGAGATAGTTTGTGTATTTTTAGAAATTTTGGTTATTTTTTTTAAAAGTGTTTGCAAAAAAAATTGTAGTGCATAAGTCATGTTTTTAATGCATGATACACTATTTTTGCACAAAGTATTAACTTTCACACATAAAACTATACTTTTGTGCAACTTCTTTCCCCCAAAATACTGTCTTATTTTGAATAGAGGGTCTTGAATTATAAAGGCACGTTTTTGCATCAAGGAGGTGAATATAAACAAATCCTCTTTCCATTTCTACAATCCAATAATCTTTATAACATCTGTAGTTTCAGCAAAACATATTAGTGTGAATTGAACAAAACTTTGGACAGCAGTACCTTCTGAAACTCTGGTCATTGCATTCTGCAGAGTATTATTCTTTAATATGTCTTCAGAACATGCTAGAGTCAATGTGACTAAATGAAGAAGAACAAAACATCTGCTCCAATGGAGAAACATCACCTAACACACAAACTCAGTGAAGAACCATGTCAATGATAAATTGTTTTCAAGAACATGTACCAATGGATGGCCCAGGTCATATGCAAAACTCTTTTGTGCAAGATGGAAGAAGTGGGATATTAGAAAAACCATTTGCTTGGTTTAGGAAAGAATAGGATGCTGGTGCTAAAATAATATCTATTTTGGCATACAGTGCATCTTTATGGGCTACCAAGTTCTTCCAGACAGTTTTAGATAATGCCATAATTATTTACCTTTCACTATGCTGACTAAAACTGAAAGGGAGTGCAATGTAAGAATATCTGGAAGGCAAGATGGTTGGTCAGCTCTTGATCTAAGTTAAATCTACACTGTCAAATGAGTGTAGTACTGACATGGTTTACTTCTATGGAATCCTGGGTTTTATTGTTTGGTGAGGCACCAGCACTCTTCAGCAGAAAGGGTAAGGTACCTTGGAAAACTACAACTCCCAGGACTCCATAGTATTGAGCCATGACAGTTAAAGTGGTGTCAAACTGCATTCATTCTACAGAGCAGATGCATCCTAAGACATGCTTTTACCTGAATGGAATTATAGATTATACTGTATATTGTCAATGTTTAGCTACCAGATGGCATTCGGCCGAGAAGCTGAGGCACAGTAAATACCAACCCAGAAGTCTCAGTGTCAGCATGCAGCATAGTTAAACATCTGGTATTGCTTCAGGGCGCTCGTTCTAGCTGACACTGTTACCACTTTTACAAACGTAAGATCCTATGGTGCTGCTAAACACTGTTGGGATAGGCCAGGCAGCTATTGCACATACTTCCTTTTCTCCTACAACAGTGGTTCTCAACATGTGAGTCGTCAGATGTTTTGGCCTACAACTCCCAGAAATCCCAGCCAGTTTACCTGCTGTTAGGATTTCTGGAAGTTGAAGGCCAAAACATCTGGGGACCCACAGGTTGAGAACCACTGTCCGAAAACCTCTGGACTCTTATAATGGATTTTTGAGGGTACATCAAGGCCTTGGGGACCTATAACAGAATCATTTTGTAAGTAGTAGGGGGCAGATCCCATATGTTTTAGCTGGACAGTGTCAAGAGTAAGAGCTAATGTGTACAAAACTATTTGTGCAACCCACTGGGTAATAAATCTTTCTTAAAAGTGCACCTGATGCAAGTAAAGTGTTGAGCTGTTTTCTCTTTCTCTCAAGTGCTTCTGGGTTTGAACAGAGCATCACAAGATATCATTATAGTGGTCAGAACCAAAAAGTATTTGAAGCAAAGCAAAAAGCATCTCCATCAATTTTCTTGCCTGGTACCTCACTACTAACTTCATAAAATGGTTTTAAGCATCAGAATAAAGCAAAGCAAGGCTGTGGAAATCAATACTGAAACTATGTAAGGTTTCAGTAGATATCTGCATGGAGAAGGGGCCTGAAATCTGGCTCACTGCCCATTGTTATTCCAAGTTTATGTTCTCAAGAATGGAAAACATCTGAACTTTCAATATTATTGTAAAGAAACAAGACACAAAATATTAGGAAACAGAAATGTATCAAAAGTTATATAAGAAATCAGCCCAGTGAACAAAACCGTGTGTAGTTTGGCTGGTCTAGATTCAATTGTGTTTGGCTGGTCTAGATTTATTCATTGGGAGGCCTTGGTCAGATCATTAGCTTTCATTAATGCACCCTGTTGCAAAGATGAGTAGCTCCCTATTAAGAATGTAAAGCACTTTGAATGTTAATCACACAAGACACTATTACTACACACAATATTAGTTGCCCAATGCATATACTTAATATATCTCACCTAGGAGAGTTCTAAATTATGCTTTGCCATACATTCATTTCCAATGGAATCTGATATATATATATACACACATACATATATATATGCAGAATTTGGGTTTTTAATCTAATCCGGTGGTTCTCAACCTGTGGGTCCCCAGATGTTTTAGTCTGCAACTCCCAGAAATCCTAACACCTGGTAAACAGACTGAGGTTTCTGGGAGTTGTAGGCCAAAACACCTGGGGACCCACAGGTTGAGAACCACTGATCTAATCTAAAATAGAAAACCTGCATTATTAGTTCTGTATGAAGAGCTTACTCCTAAGACTTGAGTCAACAGCTAATGTTCATTTACAATTAGCACTCACCTGTAAAAACATTGGGGAAGGTGTCAGTGGAAGCTGGAGTCCCAGAGGACTTTCTCAAGTGATTCAAAGGCACTCTCTCTCCCTGGAAGCCGTCTCTACTCCGTCTGTACTCCAAGAAATCTGCAGAGCCTGACTTTTGAGCTACATCACCTCGATGATTGAAAACCTCATCTGTCCAGTCTGCTGATCGGCTAAATGGACCAGCCAAACTGGATGACCTCTGCTTCTTGGATGACACATTTTCTTTCCTCTGAGCAGACTCACGTCTCCTTTTGAAGAGTGGACTTTGGGATGGCGACAGACAGGGCGAATGATTTGGAGAACTCAACTGCCTAGTGGTGGTTTTGATATAGCATGGGTTAATGGGAGGAAAGGGCTTTAAACCTTTGGAACTATGCATAGGACTACTTGAGACATCATTGGAGGACAGAGTTCCATTTTTTATTGTAGCAGTAAAGCCATCATCTAAGGCCTCCCTGCTAGCTGATATACTCCTTTTCCTGTCTTTGGCTCCTTCAGCTTGGCTGTGGCTTGTGTCAGCAATATCCTCTTCCTCCCTTTCTGAACCTGAAAATTCAAAAGCCATCACCTCAGTTTCCGATTCCCCAATTGGTGATGGGAAATTAAACACTGTTCTGGCTAGCAGAGTCCCATTTTCTGTTGCTGCAGCTTTTTGTTCACTGGCAGATTGCCTTTGCTCTTCTGGCAACTGCTTATGTTCTTCTTGCACATCAAATACACTGCTGCAGGAATGCCCTGTTCCATTTGTCACCCCTTTCACTCCACTTTCGATATCACTTGTAGGGATATAGTCTGCAATTTCCGATTTAGCTGAGACAGGCTGTTCTGTTTCTGGACTGCTGTCTTTGTCACTGCTTAATGAAAGAAACCTTTCAAAATCGAAGGGGGCTGCTTGAGAATTAGCCATGTGTAGGCCCATTGTTTTGGTGCCATTCTGCTCAGTTCCAATGTTAATTGCCCCCTGCTGCTGCTGCAGTTGCAGTCTAATAGCCTGCTGGATATCAGAAAGCAAATCCTCTTGTTCTGTGGCTGAATGGAAACTGTATATATCCGTATCGGAGCCGGAGCTGGTCCTTTGTCCATCCTGCGGCTCGGCTGCAGCTGGGCGAGTTTCATTTGTATGTTCAAAATGTTCCACATCTGTGTCTGAGAGACCCCCCTCATCTGCAGAAATGCTAATATCAGGAGTTTTGGTGAGGACTGAATGAGCGCTGTCTAGCTCCCCTGTTTGTGAGGCCTGGCTTTCTAAAACATCCTCTCTTGAGCTGCTGTTTCCATCCTTTGCTTTGGAGAGATTCTTTCTGATCCGCAGATTGGAAAACACAGAGCCTCGGGACTCTGACTTGCCCTTCTTTTTACCCGATTCATTCCCTTTGCCATGCTTCCCCAGTCCCTTTTTGCTCCCTGCTCCCTTCTTTGTGCCATCCGCATCCCTGGGCCCTGAAGCATCCTCACCTCCATCGTGTGCATCACCTGCATTCTTCTTCAGTTTCCCATCTTGATTCCCCATATTGCTTTGCAGTGGTGCAGCATCAGGAATCAAGTCATGTCGTTCGGTTTCATTCAGCTGGCCTGGCAGCGGAGACCTTTCGGGTAATCCAGGTTTGTTTTCAAGCAGCGGTGATGCAAGTGGAGCAAAGGCTTGTTCTGCCTCCCTCTCAGCTGCTCGAGCTGCTTTTTTGCATAATGTGCTGCTGGCATAGAGCTCCTCTGGGACATGCTCAGTAGAGCACCGAGAGATGCAGACAGCTCCTTCCAATGGTGGCTCGTGGCAGCGTTGCCTCTTCAGACAGAGTCTGCTGCTACACTCCAGGCTCCCTTTGGTTGATGTGAATAAGGATGCCTTGACAACAGGATTTTTTCCCTCCACTGCCTGAATCCCCTGCATTGTTACTGGGGGTGGATCAGTTTGTCGTTGCATGTCTTAAATTTCAAGACTTCAAAAGTTTGACTTCCTGGAATTTTATGTTGGGAAGGAAAAGAGAGCAAGAAAAAGAAAGAGGGAAATTAAAACTCAGGCTTCACATAAAACTTTCTGGCTGTTCCCTGAAAAAAGTAGTATTTTTAACCTTTGTAAAAAAATGATGCTTTAATTCACATTTTGCTAAAATGTAATATATGTACAAGTACTGTGCATTCAATTTTGTAAAAATTCAGACAGTGTTCTGGTTTTGAAACTCTCTCACAAACTTTTACATTTTTTAAACAAAACATTAACACAATAATTCCCTGAAATTTTAAAGGCTAACAATACTGCAGATTATTTAATTTTTTGTTCTATATGACCATTCAGAAATAAGCCATCTGTATGCCAAAAGGACACAAATAATGGTGATCCTCAAAGGGATAAAGTTCATCAATATTCCGCTCACATAGATTGTTCCCCTAGCCTCGCTCTGGTATAAATAATTACACTATCACCAAGATCTAAAACAAGTTATGCTTCAGGTCATATCTATATGTTCTATAACAATGACTTTTAACATATTGTATGGCTCATTAAGTATAATTGCTTCTCTTCCTGGTAGTGGTTTATATAAATTAATCCTTACTGTAATACACACACATCAGCCTTATAGTTTTATGATCATGGGATTGCCATTTTAAAAGTAATGTATCTACGGAACAAGATCAGTATAAGGCCTGCTATTGCAAATCAGCCCCAAGTCCCATCTGTTCCATGACCTTAGCAGCAGCCTATACCAGATACTGTATATCATTATCAGAAAAAAAACCAGATAATTAAAAATGGATAAGGAAAATAAAGATGTGTCCTTTTTATTAAAAAAAAATCTACTCCACTGAATTCACAGATCACTTCCAACTTGCATACAGATATTTATTGAACCAACTGGCAGTACTGCTAATAGACCAAAATATTGTAATTTTAGGTTTAATAATAATAATAATAATAATAAGAAGAATAATAGTTTTATTTCTTGCCCGCCTGTCCTCACAGCTCAAGGCAGGTTAGAGCATTATGAAAACATAAACAACATACAATCATTTTAAAACATTCTGTAAAATACACATATTAAAATATACCTCCATAAAATATGTATCAAAATACACAAAACAAAAACAGTGATTCCTTAACATTTATTTCACTCATTTATTTTGTATCCTGCTTTTCTCCTGGTATGGGACCTAAAGCTACTTATAACAAATTAGAACAAAACATATCTAAGATCCACATGACTTTTAAAAAAATATAAGCAATTTCGTTAAAATATAGTGACTCATGAATAATCCATGGGGATTATTTATTTATTTGTTTGTTTTTGTCCATCTTTTCTCCCATGGGTGGGAAACAAGATCCATGAGAATTGATCATAATCAATCCCCATTATATGCAATTGTTTAGTACAACAATGTCCATTACATTAAGGTTTGCTTTTGGAATTTTTCTTAAAATTCAAGTTGTTGATGAGGAAATGTGTGCACACAGAATTCATGGCTAGGAAGGGCCAATTGTTCTAAAATAAAACTGTTTAAGACAAGTTGAAGCACTTTAATGCATTAAATAGGATAAAAGTATAACACCTCCTATTCAACCACAACAGGTTAAAGGCCAAGAGCCTGCTTATATGAAAAGGTCTTTAGTTGCTGACAAAAAGAGAAGTAATGGAAAGAAAGAAAAGAAAAGGAACTGGCAGACAGATTGGTTATTCCAAAAGTGGGAAAATGTGTGACTGTTAATATTGAGACATCTAGAATTTAATAGGTTCTGTTACTGTGAAGTAACTTGTTAATAAAATAGTTAACAATCTTTTTTTTTAAAAAAAAATGACACAATTGGTTGCAATTGTCCCCTAACAAACTACTTTACCTTTTACCCTTTCTTGAATTGGAGATGATAAATAAGGGGAAGACTGTTCATTTGAGTCACAACACATTGAATCAATGCAATATTGAAGTGCAGCAAAAAGCAGCTAGCTACAAACATCAGGCAGTGAACTAAAGGTAAAGAAGTCTTATTCAGAAGTATTTTGAGTGATTCAGAACATATGCAAAACTTTTTCTGCAATACTGGATAACTACATCTTCAACTTTCAGAGTCAAATGGGCCGGATTCAGACAGGCCTTTATCCCAGAAGCATCCACATTAAAATAATGCACGCATTCTGGGGTGGGTTATCCAGACGTTCTCTTGAGACTAGCCTGAGAGAATGTCCGGAGGCCCTACCCCCCTCCCCCCAAGCCCTCAGACCCCTTAGAAAGGTTACAAAAACTTACCAGGCCTGCAGTATACCCTCAGAGCAGCTCTCCCGGCACGTACAAATGACGTGCCAGAAGAATGGGGGAGGGATTTTCTCCTCTCCACCCCCTCCCCCATCTCTCCTGGCGTGTCATTTGTATACACTGGGAGAGCTGCTCCGAGGGTATACTGCAGGCCTGGTAAGTTTTTTTTAACTAAGGGGTCTGGGGGCTTGGGGGGAGGGTGGGTATTCCCACAGTTTACCAGGCTTATTTAGCCGGTAAACTGTGGGAATGGTGTCTGGACTGTAGAACAGACACCGGAAATAATGCATTTATCGCACCTTCCAAAAAGGCATAGGATAAATCCACTATCAAATTTATTCGCTACAAACCAGGGTTCTCCTAGTTTGTAGTGAATTAATTCAGGACTGTCCAGAATGTTGTCTGGACAGCCCCTCCTTTATCGTGGGAGTTCCCACAATAAAGGCCCTGTCTGGATGGGCCCATGGTCTTGTGTAGATAAATGCTGCAATGTGTATGTTGTACACAAGGACCAGAGATTCAAAGTTCATTTTCTACAATCTTCAATTCCCAATTACCTCTCTGCTCTCTTAAAATTCTCCTATTCCGAATGCTCCCTGTGCCATGCATAACGAGGAAAAGCATTTAGTTACTGCAGCATATTAATAGTGTGTTCTAAAGCCACCAAACTTACTTTGAAAGCCTCACTAGAGATTTTTAAAGACACAACTAAATAAATTTAACTAGTTATATCTCAGCAACATTAGTGAGTGCTATTGATCAACAAATCAACTCATTACATTTCATTGGGGGAAGAGTCACCAAACTGTGCAAACAGCTAGTTAAATTCATCTACTTGTTTCCAAGACCTGGAATGAATATATGTATGATGCTACTGACTAAGGATTATACAATGTATACATTTACTGTAGTATGCAGACACTACATTTCAAAAAATTACAACTTTAAAGCATTTTATACCCCACCCCCATATATCTCATGCCAATTGAGACACTACTGAAGTGTCTGCATAAGAACTATTTTTAAACTACATTTTCAAGGCTAGCCCCAATGAATGAGAATGACACTGTTCAAGATGAATTTAACAAGTCAACAAAATGGTCCTAAATCTACACAGAAAAGAAGAGAAAACTACGCACAGCCCTCTAAGCATTTTCATTAGAATCATAGAGTTGGAAGAGACCTCATGGGCCATCCAGTCCAACCCCCTGCCAAGAAGCAGGAAAATCACATTCAAAGCACCCCCAACATTCTTTAGCTTACAGCGCCCAGTATTCCCAGGTAGTCTTCCATCCAAGTACTAACTAGGCCCAACTCTGCTTAGCTTTCAAGATCAGACAAGATCAGGCATGTTCGGGGTGATATGGCCATAGCATTTGAGCTTCCTTCTGTTCTCAACCAACTGAACTTGAGGTGTGGGTTAACCTCAAAAAGATTTGGTTTCATGTTAAATGTCTGATTCAAAGATTTGAGACACTACTGCACAAGTAAAATAAAAAAGCAGAAAGAACATATGCCCGCAGAATGTTTAAGATTATGACTTAAGTGTGGTGGGTGTTTGCACGTGTCTCTAAAATTTTAAGCTAATTAATATACAACAATTTTCCAAAGTTTGAAACATAATATACAGATTCAGAAACTCCTAATCCTCAAACTTCACCGTCCATCACAAAATTTGGGGCCAGGAAACCAAGTCTTGACTCAGACCCACTGCGGTATGGATGTCTGTACCTTATTGGTCTTGTTGAATTAATTTAAATTATTTCATAATTGATTAATGCTGTTCTCTCTTCCTTCCTTGAGATCTCTATACATAGGGGCAAATATAAACATTTACATTTCAATTTAACTGATTAATTTAAATACACAAATAAAACAGAACTGCAAACAAGTAGAAAAAAAAGGTATAACACAGAACCAAACTTACATTATACAACACAGGCATCCATGAAAATTCAACTAAAACTCTCCATACCTTCCCTTTCATCCCCATCAGTTTGCACTGCATAGGCATTCATGTAGTATATTCTGAAAGAGGAAAGAGGCTGGGTATTTTCATTCCATTTACCTAAAGCAGGTAAACTAGCATTTCCTGGAAGAAACCTAAAGCTCACTGGAGGGACACATTCCTGCCTGGGGCATAGGGAATCCTTGGAGAGAGTAGCCAAACAATGCTAGCATGTCTTGGGTTATAAAGGAAATACACAAAATTCCCTGGGACCATGTAGGTTAGAGATAACCAGATGAAAGAGAAGGGAAGTTTGTGTCCTTGAAAGGAAAAAAAATAGGGGGGGGGGGGGACTTTGAAGTAAACAATAATTTCTTTTGCACTGCTCTTTTCTACAGCTGTAGGGAATTTTGTTTAGCACTTCTTTAGAAGAAAGCAACAATGGGAGGCTAATTTTAATGAATGATTAAAATGTTCTTATCCTGTTTGCTTTTATGAGGACCTTTTCAGAATTAGTATATATGGCCCTTCAGATATTGTTGGACTCTTAATTCCCAGGGTGCACATACACTATAGAATTCAACACTGCTTTAACTGCTAGAGCTCCATCCTATGGAATCCTGAGA